TCTTGCTATAGTAGCAAACATTTCATAAAAATCAATCCCTTCAACTTGATTGTATCCTTTAGCCACCAATCTTCCTAATTCCAAATCACTACACCCGAATCATTAATCTTTTTTTTGAAAACCAACTTAGTTCCAACAACACTTTGATTTTTAGGTCTTTCAATTAAGTACAAACATCATTTCTAAAAAAATTATTCAATTCTTCCAACATAGCTAAAATCCAAAACTCATTAGATAGTGCTTGATTTATATTAGTGGGTTCACTCATTAAAATAAAGGCTGTGGTTTACTTCTTTTTTAAGTCTATGCCTAGTCCTAACACCTTCACTCGGGTCTCCTAAGATTAATTCTTTAGGATGACTTTTAGCAAAAATTTAGTTTTGTAGACAAAGAATTCTCTGTTTTAACCTTTTTTTCAAGATTTGCATTTTCAATAATTTGGGTTATTTTTTCGACATCTTCTTATTCCATCTTAGACCCTTTAAAACATTAGATTCATCAAAAAGTATTTGGGCAGTCTCCTCTACTACCAAACTCATTCTATTAAAAACTCTATATGATTTTCTAACACTTAAATATCCTAAGAAAATTCCCTCATTAGATTTGGGATCAAAATTTCTTACAAGTGTTTTACCATTGTTATGAATAAACACCTTACTTCCAAATACATATAAAAGTGAAAGGTGTTATTTCCATAAGAAGTTCATAAGGAATCTTATTCAACTTAGATCTAATATTCACCCTATTCAAAACATAACAAGATGTACTAACTACTTTATGCCAAAAATATTCCAAAAGTGAATATTCCGCCAATATGGCTCTAGCGGCTTTTATTAATGTTATGTTCTTCCTTTCAATAACCACATTCTATTGAGGATCATATGTGATAAAAATATATGATCAATTCCTTACTCTTTAAGGAAATTTTAAAATTTTTTAATTTTAAATTCTCCTCCATGATCACACTAAATTAAAAGAATTTTATAATCTAGCTTCCTCTGAATTCAAGTAGAAAAATTTCTTCAAATGATTTACTCTTATATGATAAGAATCTAATCCAAGTGAATCTTAAATAATCATTAACAATTACATACCAAAAAACTTTCCCTCCTAAACTTATAGTGCTAACCGGTCCAAAAAGATCTATGTGTATGGCATCATATGGTTTATTAGTTCTAAATATTTAATTGAATGAAAGGAGGACTTGAATTATTTTCCTAATTAACATACATCACACAGGTGGTGTTTGGTGAAGTTTAATGTGGGTATTACTCTAACAAATTCATTTTGGGTAATCTTCCTAAGATTTTTCATGCTCGCTTGACAAAGTCTTCTATGCCACAACAAAGATTCATCAATGATAGTTTTGACACAAAAAGCATTAGAAGATTTGACATAATTTAAATCAATCATGCATACATTATTTACTCTATTTACAAGCAATACATCAATTATATTTAAGCTTATAATCTTACTAGTAGGTAAAAATTTAATGTTAAAAACTCTATCATAAAGCTGACTAATATTGAACAAGTTATGTTTTAAGCCTTCAAATAATAAAATCTTCTCAATAAAAAAATTTAATCTTATTGCTAAACATACCTGTACCTACCACTTTCCTAGTGGTATTATCTCCAGTGTCACTTTGCCTCCAAACCTGGAATCACAAATATGAATTGAGTTGTATCTCCAGTCACATGTTTAAAACATCTACTGTCTATATACCAAATTATCTCATGAGGGCTTGTATGAGAGTGTTTCTATAAAATTATCAAACATTAGGCTTGGGAAACTAAATAAATTTAGTATACCTCTTGACAATGGAAATAAAAAAGTATGCTTAATATGTTGTGATTTATGCATCTTACATCTCCACACTAGATATGTTCTACTATGAATTATGAAAGTGTGAGAAATATGTTCTATCATTCCAAATCAAAATAATTTAATACTAGGAAAAAGATTTACTAATCTATCTGAGTTATAATGTCATTTCATAGGTTTTAAAATTATACGCTTCTGATGAGGATTGTGAAATTATTCAAGTGTATAGAGTGTCTTATTTTCCTTAAAAACATTCAATGTTTTGTTAAGATATGAGTTTTCACTTTCTAAAATTGCATTGTCAACTTTTAAATCATATTCTTTCTAATACGCTTCAGCTATAAACACCTTACACTCATTCTCAAGATTAGTATACAATTTTTTTTGATAAACCATGTTTCTTAATCAAATCATAAAATTTGACCAACAATGCCATGTGATTGCTATTTATGGATGCATGATATTTCCTAAGAGTTTCATATTCTTTTTATAAAATCAATTGCTCGAGACTATGATTTGCATTAAATTTTTAAAGCTTCCTATATGCATTATGAATTTTCCAAAAAAATGTTAAATAATTCATCATCGGATAAGTTAAAATAATTCATCATAGGAAAAGTTACATACTTCCTCTTTATCTGAATGATCAAGTTTAACTGTCATTAAACACATGTTTATGACTTCCTTTTCTGCTTCTATTTCTAAGGAGCATGAAGCTGAGTTTGCCTATATAGCACTTAGCATTTATTTTTTTCCCTTCCTAACATTAGTTTTCTCCTATATTTTCACCTTGCTAGGATTAGCTTTGAGATTTGGGCAATCTATTTTTATATGTCTAGGCTTCCTTCATTCATAATAAATTACATCATTAAAAACTTTTACATTATTATTGAACTTATATTTGTTCCAATGAAGATGTCTATATTTCTTTCTATTAAAGAAACTTTTAAACTGCCTAGTCATGAGTGCAAAATCATCTTCATCCTCAGGTACTAATTAATAACTCTCTGAATCATCCACATTCAAAGTAATATTCTACTCTTTTTGCTTATCACCTCCATCAATCTATTTATGATTCACTCCTTGCTTGTACATAATTAGTGATCCCAGTAGAATGTTAATAAGCTATTTTTTAGAGAGAGAAACCATTGTTAGAGAGCGAAACTCCAAGATTTTTAATTTTGATTTTACAATTTTTCAGCAACCGTCATTGCAGGGTCTTGGTGATGACGACAGAAGGTCGTCGGCCACCAGTCGGCATGCATAATAGCAATGGAAGATCAACTTGACTTATCAGAGAAGATAGCAATCATCGCTAGACGTTCCTGTGTTCGGAAGTAAAAAACGTGCATGTGAAAATGCTTGTAAGACCTATGGCTATCAGAGATGTAAGTAACTCACCTGTGAAGAAGAATGTCAATGTTGTGGAAGTTAAAGGTAAGAATATTTTGATTAGCAGTAATTGCATTACTTCGCGATTTTAGAAATCGAGTGCAAATTTGAATCAAAATTCTAACGGTTTGGAAGCTTCTTCATTAGAAATGAAGATTTTTGTTACGAAATTCAGTTGTTCAAATGCAATCTCTGACCTATGGCCAGTGATAAATTCAAATATCTAGAATGACATTAACAACATATCCCATCCTGATCATAAGCAATCTTCTGTTCTATTCACTGGATTACTTGTTAAGTCTTTCTTGTAATATGAGAATGCTGAGAAGAATAGCTGTGAGGTTCATTCTGAGAAGGGAGAAGTTCAATCTGAGAATGGATTGAAGATTAGCTGTCAGTCTACAACCAAGCATTCTGAGAGTTATCCTAAGGAAAGCTTTCCTAATGCATAGAAAAAGACTCTGCACATCAAGCTAAATTATAATATGAAATCAACTCCAATTTATGATGATGGAATTGCAGTGATTATGAATTAAGAATGTGAAAATGCTAATTCACACATTTGAGGAATTCATTGGTTATTAAAGTCTTGGGCAGCAACATCCCTTTTCCTGTCAACAGCAGAGAACTCCAGAGGTAATGGTCCAAATTGTGGAATTTCCATCTCACAAGTTTGGGTCTTGAATGGATCCTATGTTCCTTTACCAAGCCGAAAGCTATTGAAGAAATCATATAAGGAGGTCCATGGTTTATTGGAGGAAATATCATTGTCTTGGACAAATGGTCCCCTTCATTTTCCCCTGAATCTCTTAAAGGTCTTACATCACCTATTTGGATTCGTATGCCGTGTTTACCTTTACACTGTTGGGATGAACATAATATTTCTAGAATTGCATCTATGGTAGGAGTTCCTTTATATCTAGATGGAAATTCACTAAAATGGGGAGAGAGGGAGTAAGCCAGAGTTTGTGTTCATATTGTTCTAGATAAAAATTTACCTAAAGGTGTTTCGATTGAAGGAATGCATGGTAGATCATTCCAAAAGGTAGAATATGAGAAGATTTCATCCCTGTGCTACCACTGTGGCAAAATTGGACATCTTAAGAACACATGCCCTATTACCAATAACACTTCGACAAAAGCATTTGTTCCTGTTACAAATGTAAGGAATGAAGGGATGAGTCATGAAGGAGAGAAATCCAATGAGCATGATGAATTAGGTCCTTGGATACAGGTCAAATTCAAGAAGAATAAAGGATTCGAGAAAACTATAGGTATATCGAATTAGAGAACTTAATTTCAGAAGGATCCACCAATTCAGATTGATTCCATCATAGAAGAAGGTGTGATCATTGAACCACAAAGCAATGTTGCAGTTCAAATTAAAGAATCTGTTGCTAAGTGTAACTCACTTGAGTTAATAAAGACTAACAACTCTGGCTTAACTTTGAAGAACAATTTTAGTATCCTTGAACAAACTATGCAAGATATAAGCATGAGAGATACTATGGAGACTGATGGTATTGCATAATAGGTTGAGACAAGAAATCTGCCACCAATTTCTAACATTGTGGTATACACTTCTCCTGATATTCCAATCAAGCAAAATTTGGTAATAACAAATGATGTTCTTGCATGTGATAATGTATTCAAGACAGCATCAGGAAAATTGAAGCTAGCTAAGAGGTTAGGGATTTGGGCACTATGGATACAGTCAGTAAGAATGGAAGAGGAACTAAAAAAATCAAAAAGAAAGGGGGGGATTCATCCCCTTCTGGGAATTAATGGCTTCCCTTATTTTCTGGAACTGTAGGGGGGCCAAGAAGAAGGAGCCTTCCCTCTATCTCAATGAGATAGTGAAAGATTATAAAGGTTGTTTTATTGGTCTTGTAGAGACTAGAATCTCAATCTTTGACATTCTTGAGGTTGATAAAGTTATTGGAAGGGAGTGGGATTTCTTTCACCATCCTGATGAAGGTAATTCAAGTGGAATCATTATTTTATGGAATAGAAATAATGTTTCCTTTGAATTCATGGATCATTCTTCTCAAATTGTTATTGGGATGCTTAAATCTCCTTTGTTTGGATCATGGATGGTGGGGACCGTGTATGCAAACAAGGATTATCGTATAAGGAGAAGTTTATGGGAGATGCTTGAAAAATCCACTAAAGAAGACATTCCTTCAATTGTTGGAGGAGATTTTAATTGCTTATTATCTAATGATGATAAGAGAGGTGGCAAGAGGTTCCTTTTTTCAAAAGGACCTCAAGAGATGAAATTGTTTATGACTAACAATGATTTTCATGATGTATGTACTATTGGTCCTAAATACACTTGGTGCAACAACAAGGATGGAAATATGAGAATATGGGAAAGACTTGATAGATGCCTTCTCAATGCGTCTGCTCTTAAAAAAGTTCCCTTGGCTCGTGTTAGACACTTAGCAATGATTGCATCCGATCATTGCCTTATAGCTTTCAAAATGTTGGAAGCATAATACAAAAGTCATTTTATTAGATTTGAAGGAACCTAGAAATCATATCTAGTGGCTAGAAGCATTATTTCTAATGCTTTGAGGAATACTGATTATGGTAATGAGATGGATGTATTACAAAGGAAGCTTAGAAGATCCTTGAGGTCCCTTTTCCTCTGGAGCAAGAACAAATGTAAGAGCCTAAATGCACTAAATGAAAATTTAAAAAAGGAGATAGTTGATCACCAATTGGAAGAAGCTTCTCAAGGTGGGTTGACAAATGAAAAGCTGAAATTACTTGGATTTAAGGTGCATGAATTAAATGTAACATTGGGTAGACTTTCTACATGGTGGAACCAAAGAGCCAAGGTGAGATGGCAAGAAGAAGGAGATGTAAACTCAAATTTCTTTCATAGATTTGCATCAGCTAAGAGGAATGGAAACCTTATCTGAAAAATCAAGAATAATGATAATGCCTTGGTGGAAGATTTTGAACAGATTTAAGATGTTTTCCAGAACTTTTTGGAAAGGAAATGGCAGTGCAGAGATTGCATTTTAGAAGGGTGGCTGGTTTTCCCTGAAGAAAAAACGCTTAACTCCATGGATATTAAATTTCTAAACAATGATTTCACCCAGGATGAACTAAAAACTGCTGTTTTTCAACAAGGGAGAAACAAATTCCCTGGCTTGGATGGGATTACTCCATCATTCTTTCAATTCTTTTGGAGTATTATTAGAGAATCAACTTGGAAAGTTGTTCAAAACTTCTTCAAATCTGGAAATATGAATGATGAATGGAAGGATACTTTCATAGTATTCATCCCAAAAGTGAAACATCTGACGACGCCTTCTAATTTCAGACCAATTAGCTTGTGTCAAACCACTTATAAGTTGGTTACAACCATGTTGGTCAAAAAAATAAATCCATGTATCTCCAAGCTCATTTTGGAAGAACAAATTGCTTTCATCCCCGAGAGATCTATGTCTGAACATTGCTTACTTGCTCAATAAATCTTCAACAAATTCAGGACCTCAAAGGACAAGAAAGGATTTATGGAAATACAATTATATATGGAACAAGCATTTCATAGCATGGGATGGCCAACATTGAATCAAGTTTTACAAACTTATGGATTTCCTATTTCATTTTGCAAAATTATCATGGAATGTGTTATGAATGTTAGATTCTCCTTCATCCTAAATGGAAGATTATCTAGTTGGATCAAAGCTAGATGTGGGCTTCGACAAGGCTGTCCATTATCTCCTTACTTGTTCATAATGTGTTTTTAGCTCCTTTCCCATGTGATTAACAAAAGAGGGCAGCATTTGGGAGTTAGTTTAACACCAAAAAACTAGAGAATTACACATCTCTTGTATGCAGATGATGTATTAATATTTTTCCAAGCATCTTCAATAGTAGCCTAAGAATTGAAAACCATTGTGTCGGATTTCTGCACATGGTCTGGACAAAGAGTGAATGCATCCAAATCATAGATTTTATTTTGGAAGGCTGTGAAGCTTACAATGAAGAAATACATAAAGAAGAAGTTGGGTTTTAATGTGGTGAAGGAGATGATTTATATGGGTATTAAAATGGCTCTAAGAAGACTTAAAACATTTGATTTTCAAGGTATGATAGACCTTATTTTAGAAAGACTAAATGCACGGGGAAGCAAGCATCTTTCCATGGTTGGTAAGATCACTATAGTTAAGGCTTCTCTCCTAACCTTACCAAGTTTTTTATCAACTCATTCTTTGACTCCAAAGAAAATCTTGCATCAAGTAGATCATTTCGGTAAAGAATTCATATGGCATAAAGAAATGGGCAAAAATGGATTACATTATGTTGCATGGGATGTTTTATGCAAACCAAAATCAGAAGGTGGCTTGGGAATACATTCAACTGTACAATGGACGGGACCTCTTAGATCAAGGCTTGCTTTGAGATTGATTCAATATCCTAATAATTTTTTACATAGAAATATTATTACTAAATATGGTGATAATATATTTGAAGGAAAGAAAACTTGCTCATCAACCTGGAGAATTCTGCTTGATGGTGGAAAGCATCTCAAACCCATTGTTAAATGAAATGCTGTTAATGGGAAGAAAATAAATGTTATGAATGACATTTGGCTCTTGGATAGATGCGTCAACTCTTGGCCAACACTTGCTGCTTGTGTAAGATTGAATAACCTTAATCTGGATGTGTTTATTCTAGCTAATGGCACTTGGAATAAAAATTTGCTACATAATTTCTTTAAAGAATATCTCATTATGCTGATTCTACAAGTTAAAATTGATCATGAAGCCGAAGAAGACTATTTGGAAACCATCAATAGTCACAATGGTAAGATTATAACTGCCATGGCTTATGTTGAATCATTAAAGTATCATCCTAAGGAGCAAATTTGTGATTTCACTGAATGGATAAGAGGTTTAAAACTGAACCAGAGAGTAGAGCTTTTCTGGTGGAGGCTGAGCAAATTTGCCATTCCAACTTTTGAATTTCTCAAATATAGAAATTTAAGCCAAAATGATAAATGTCCAAGAGGTTGTCAGATGGTAGAGAACTATGAGCATATAATAGTTCATTGCAAATTCATCAAAGAAATCATTCTCAGATTAAGAGAATGGGGTTTCTTTATTCCAGTCTTCCATTCCCTTGATAATTTCTTTGAAGTACTAAGAAGCCATTCATCTTGGTTCCCAAACATAGTAAAAATTTATCTTACAGCAGTTTTTGTTTCTTGGAAAAATAGAATTGACCTTGTTCATAGTAATTCCATCACTTATAGTGCTTTTGTAGAAGCAAATGTTCGGTTTTTGGCAAAGCAAAAATTATTCCCAAATCTATATAACTTGGGTGCTAATCTACTAAGGGAGTTTACTAATGCTTGGCACCCTCCACCGCTAGATTGGATCAAAATAAATGTTGATGCATAATTATTGGAGACAAATCAAGCCAAAATTGGAGGTGTATTTAGAGACCACAAAGGAAGGTTATTGTTGCCATTCGTAAAGAAGAAACTTCATTGGGATATTTCTCAACTTGAATTGGAAGCTGTTTTAACTATAAAGGAATTCATACAACCTTGGATGTTGGAAACTAAAGGCGTGATCATTGAAGGTGACAACATAAACATCTTCCACTTTATTCAAAATTCTTTGAATAAGCTTAAATGCCACTTAAGCACAAGGTATAATAAAGATCTCTTATTCCTCAATTATTTCAAAAAGGTAGTATTTAATCATATTCATAGAGATTGTAATAAAGTAGCGGACGGTTGTGCTACTTTAGCTTTAAGTAATGATTTTTGCTTTGATAGTTACTCATTTACCGACATTCCTTCTAATTTGTCTTGCTTGTTAAAGAAGGAATGTGAGGTTTCTATACCTTGTAATTAGTTTCCCTTCTTTAATGCTAATTGTAATTTTGAAAAAAAAAAAAGAAGTAGATTGTCAACAAAATATACATTCAAATCATTTGACTCTATTATGGAAATTATATTTGAATCATAAGGAGTAGGTAAACAATATATGATTTTATTAATCTTTTCTGCATTTGTTAGTTCTCTACCTAAAGCATGAAATGAGGTAACATCTGAGTAAAACGTGTATACATATCATAAATTAAATAATATGGTTTCATGCGAAATAGTTCATAGTCATGTAACTAAATGTTGAATCTAGATTTTTTAACCTCATTTGTCCCTTCATAAGTTATGCAAAGCCTGTCGTATATTTCTTTTCTAGATTTGCAAGTAGAAACATGTATATAATCTTTTGATTTTAATGCAACATAAAATTATTAAAACATTTTACATTTGGCCATGCTAAGTCTTTTCCTTCTTGTGTCCAATTAGTGAATGGTGGTTCAACTCTAATGCCATCAACAAGTCTAGTTGGTCTAGTGTATCCTTCTTGTACTATTATCCACATGAGATAATAAAGTGATTTAAAAAAAGTAGACATGCAAGTTTTCTAAATTTGAAAGGGGCACTATCGAATAAAGGTGGTCTAGTAATAAACTATCCTTTAGGAGTGCTATAGTTTTCAAAAGTACTCATGATCATTTTTCAAAAAGTTGTCTAATTTTAATTAATGAAATAGGCTCTGATACCACTAGAAAGTTTGATTAGGTTGTTATACCTTATTGAAATGTCCCAATGCTTACCAAGAGGGGGGCTGAATTGGTAATTTTGAAAAATTTCATGGATTTTCAAAAACGATTTTTGTAAACTTTATGGAATGATATAGAAATATGCAGTTGCATAATAAACCGATTATCACAATAAATGTTTCTACCATAAAATTTAAAGTGTAAAAAAATAAAAAATATTGAAAACTAAATTAAATAAAAGAACACCAAATTTATAGTAGTTTTATCCAAATTGAACCTACATCCACTCCCTAGAGTCTCCTTCTCCTAGTATTACACTAAGTCAAATGAACTCTCCTTTTGCTCCCACATCAAGGTGGAAATGCCTTTACAAACTCTCTTTCTCCAACCCCGGTGCAAAACGGTACTGACATCCTTTCTCACCATTCTGTTTACAGTGGAGTATCAACATCCTTTTTAACTCTCCTGGATATGGTAGAGTACCAAAATCATTTTTTACCCTTTGGTGATGGCAAAGTATTGATTTTCTTTCTCAACCTCCTAGTTATGGCAATGTACTACAACATATTATTGAAGATCTTCTCTCAAAAGCATCCAGAGGAGACAAATAGAAATTTAGAAGAGGAAAAGAGATCCTCGCTTTGGGAAACCTTATGAATCCCTCACAACTCTAGCTCAATTGATCACTCACATTTCACTCTCATAATCTCTCTTAAATACTCACACATAATGGGCACTCTTAAGAGAAAATCATAGCAAAGGTATAGAATGTAAGTTTTTAGGACTTTTATATATATAACACAAGAAAAACTATCCAGAAAAATAAAAATTACAAGTCAACCAAACAAGGATCACCAATATGAACATTTCAAAAAATCCATATATGATACTATACGAACCT